TATATATATATATATATATATATATATATACATATATATATAATAGAATAGAATAGAAATATCAACCCAAAAGCTGAAGACCCCAATCTACAGACTTATAAAATTACTTAAATGTCCAACTACTTTTTGAAGCCACAGTACATACTAACTACATCATAGCCTATAATGCTGTAAACTAAGATTTAAAAAGCAATGCAAACACTTAGTTATAATATTACTCCACAAACTTTTTTATACTAAATTGTTATGTCTATTTACCTGGAGTCATTGTACGTGTACCATTCTCCTATGCAGGGATTGCGGCAATATGCTGTGTAATGGCCACCCAAAGACGTACCAGTGTGATTGGACACAGCATACAAATTATAGACTGCATTTACTGTGAAGAGAGAAGAGAAACAACAGCAATTAAACACAATTATCCTGGAGCTACAGTAAAAACCGCATTGCTCAAACTACTGCACAGAATACAGATGTAATGAATGATGCTGCAGAACCTACCGCTGTTATCAGAGGCAAATTCCCTGAGGTCCAGCTCTTTGAGGGGGAAGTTTACAAAGGTGGAGAGTTTGCTGGTTCTGACTCGACACTCAGAGAAACGCTTCAGATCTGAGATAGTTAGAGAGTCAAGGGCAAACAAATACACACAGCATTTTACTAATAGTACATATTTAATCGATCAATACACATTTGTAAATTAGATTTAACTTGCAATTCTTTTGATGCAAGATTTGCTCAAAAAGGATACGAAGCACCAAGATTTTTGGAAATTTCTGAATGGTGAATTTTTTTGTGCATTTCCGTCTTGTTTTACATCTGTGGCATGTCTACAGAAAAAAAGGCCGTTAGAATATGTCCAAACATGTTATGATAGACAGACAGACAGACAGATAGATAGATAGATAGATGCTGACTATACTTTATACTTACTGGTCTCTCATTCCCATCTAATACATCTTCCTTGGTGAAAAGTCGAAGGCAATCTATTAAACTCACTTCTCCTGAAGTCTGAGGGGAAAAAAACAACAACATGAAACATTAACAATAACACAAACATGCTGTCATGTAAGCATGTATTTTAATGTATCAGTCTTCATATTAACCTTAGCGATAGGCAGTGACAGATCCCAGAATGGATCAAACACTGTTGAGCAGAAGCCACACTCGCTACACGTCAGAGTGCTTTTCAACTGACCAACAAACAGATCTGTGAAAAAAAACATTAGCACTTTATATTCGGAGCAGGGAAGACAGACAAACACACACAGCGAGCGAGACTGTAGCTGGTGTTAATATAGCAGGTCAACTCACCGACTACTTTGCTGTCCTCACTCTCCAGGTACTTGTTCCACATTCTCTTGCCTTTTTCGTCGTCCCTGTAGATAAAACACACTTCATTTAAGACCCCAGACAGACTGCTTACTATTGCTGTCAGAT